ATTATTATTATTATTATTATTATTATTATTATTATTACAGAAACCAGAGATAAGCACCTACATTGATGGGAAGTCTGAAGCCATTTATACTAAAACAATTACATGTAGATTATCCGCTCTCAATTTCATGATATTCAATATTCAATTTCGTGATAGAAATCTCGAACTCGTAATCTAAGTGTTTAATAGAAACATGATCTTAGGCTATTTTGTAAATATTATTTATTGATTAATTTATTTATTTATGAGAGGGTACTGATAAATTATGTTGTTGTTTTTTTTAAAAACAGTAAATTACACATGGATACCTCACCACCAAGTGTGGAAACAGAAGGGTGAAGAGTACAGGCTGTTTGGTGGAGGGGGATGGGTCTGGACAAGTGGTCTTCAGCTGCGGAAAAGGAAACACCCTGAGGATGAAAAGGACAATTTTGTCAACAAAAAGCAAAAACTTTTGGATACTACTAATAAGATTGTAGCATTAAAAGAGGCCAAGAGAAAGGAAGTGTTAAAACAAGAAACAGAGCAAGCTGCTAGGTTGGCCGCACAGAGAGCACCTCTTCAATCTACACCTCAAGCTCAAGCTGTCCAGACCACAACAACCACTGCTGCCTCTGCACCAGTACAGACTTCCGCAACTACCTTATCATCTACAACACAATCTGCAGCTTCTCAGATGGTCCAAACTACTGCAACAACCACTGCTGTTACTGGCTCAGTACCGACGGCTGTCACTGTTCAAACTACAGCTGCATCAACCTCGGCAACTTTAACACCAGCAGCATCCTCTCAGATGGTTCAAGCCACTGCAACAACCGCTGCTGCGACTGGCCCAACACAAATCTCTGTTACTGTTCAAACTACAGGGGTATCGACGTCGGCAGCTTTTACACCAGCAGCATCTTCTCAGTTGGTACACTCTACTGCAACTACCACTGCTAGTGATTTCCCAGCACAGACTTCTGTCTTTTCTCAGAGTGCAGCTACTTCAACGGTTACATCTTCAGCACAATCACCTGTACAAAATGTAGCATTTAGGCATAATGCAGCAAACACTTCTACTTCAGTCATTCCTTGTGCTGTTACTACAGCGACATCCTCTGGTATTTCAACAAGTACTTCCTCGACTCACCCAAGCGTTGTGTCACAGAATGCAAGTCCTGCACCTTCAACCTCGGAGACCACAGGTCACCCAGTTTCAGCAGTACCATCGACAACGTCAGTATTGTCAGACCCAGAGGTTCAGACTTCTTCAGGTACAGATTTATCCGCTTCATTGTTAACTGCATCAAATTCTTCTGAAACGTTTTCTTCAGCTGAAAAAGATACCTCTACTTCCTCTAGTTTGGTATTAAATACTGACAATTCTGCAAATAAATGCTTAACTCCTCCATCGTCTTCAGCAACAACAGATATTGTATCTACTACCTCATCTTTGGCATTGTCCTCTGTTTCAGCTGCTACATCTATCTCCAAGTGTCCATCTCCTCTTCCAGATTCTTCAGCAGCAGTTAAAAACGATAACTCAACTTCCTCCCGTTTATCATTAGCTAATGACTATTCAGCAACTCCTCCATCGTCTTCATTAACAACAGATATTGTATCTAAAACCTCGTCTTCGGCATTGTCTTCCGTTTCAACTGCAAGCATGTCCAGAAGTCCATGTCCTCTTCCACATTCGTCTGTAAATTTGCTTCCTTCAAACTCTGCTAGTGTTTCTTTAACTACACAAAAAATCGAAAATCACGATTATTTGCTTGAACTTGAGAGTAAACCAGACACTTTGAGTAGCGTGGCTCGTGATACCATTGGTGATGACACAAACGCCTTAGGGAGCTCCTACGTGTGCAAAGCAGATGTTTCTCAGTCATTAGCCATTTCTTCTATGGAGGTTTCCAGTGATGTTGCGAAGACACCGATGTCATCGCTTCTCTCCTGTCAAGAACATGAAGATCAAGCATTCACCTGCTCAGCTTCCCCAAGTCCTTTAACTGGTGCCAGTATTAAGTCTCATAGTGAAGTTTGTAATTCTTCTTTTCCTGAACAAGACTCTTCTGAATCTACAGTTGCTCAGGATTCTCTACCTTCTGACCCTTCTAATCCACAAAATTCTTCACCTTGCATCGCTCTTTCTACAGAAGCAAGTCAAGTGAGTGACCTCAATTCAGACTGTGGTCCGAAAAATGAAGCTCTTCTAGGTTCTAGTCTGTGTTCGAATCAAGTCTCACTTGTTGAAGATGATGTACCAGATGATATGAAAGAGGAGAATGGCTCATCACCCTCGGACTCTCAGCCACATACAGAAGAGTTGATGACTGACTTATCGAAAGATAATTCAGAAACAGTTACAAGTACAAATAAACATGAATTGTCTCCAGCCTCGGATTTTGTAGAACAGGGCCCAGTGCAAGATAAATCTTCACCCTTAGAAATTCATTCTATTCCCAGCACCGAAGAACAAATTTCAGATCAACATGAAAGGTTAACAAACTTATCGGATGTGTCTATGGCCAGTATCGACCGAAGAGACCTAGATCATACTAAAGAGAATGCGGCAGAGTCGAATGTAACTTCAAGTGATGTGTATGTTTTAGAGAGCTCTGCTGTTCAGTCAAAGGAAGAAACCGAGAAGGGATTTCAGTCTTCGGAGAACAATTCTTTGGTTTATACCCAAGACACTCAAGACAAAATAACTGATGAGAAATGTTTTAATGACACAGTTTTACCTGACAATCGAAAAGGACATCCATCGGTATTGTCTAAAGAGGTCTCAAGTGTTGGACCAAAGGAAGAAAGCGAGAAGGAATCTAAATTTGAGGAGAACAGGTCTGTTGATAATTCAGGTAGTAGGGTAAATATTTCAGATGGCGGGGTGTTACCTTCAGATTCTCTTGTGAATGAGTGTTTAACATTGGAGAATGATACACAGGAAGACAAAGCAGACGTTGCTGGAGTTGAAGTATCTGTGGGGACTAATGAAGAAGACAGCGACGATTTTGATCAAACGACTCTTTTGACCGACAGTTCTTTGGGCTCAGGTGGAAATGGTGACAGCGATCTTAAGATGGAGGATGCCAGTATTGCTGCAAATGATAACTTGAAAATTGACAATAACGGCAAAAGCAAGGAACCCAAGAGCGTCGAACAATCAGACTGTTGCACTTTGGACATTTCAAGGTCAAAAGACGTATTTAACCATGATGAAGCGGCTTCGTTTAGTGATGTAAGAGCCAGTGTTTCCCCAACCGCTCCAGAAGTCGAAAGAACAGAAAGTTGCACTGAAACGTCTGTCTCGGTAGCAGCAGAACCTAGTGAATTTGAATCTTCTGCTTCACTTGAGGGTGATAGCCACGGCAACTTTGCAAATGCGATTTCTGATGAAGCGGCTTCGTTTAGTGATGTAAGAGCCAGTGTTTCCGCAACCGCTCCAGAAGTCGAAAGAACAGAAAGTTGCACTGAAACGTCTGTCTCGGTAGCAGCAGAACCTAGTGAATTTGAATCTTCTGCTTCACTTGAGGGTGATAGCCACGGTAACTTTGCAAATGCGATTTCTGACGACAGCCACGAAAATGAAACAAATACTGCAGACATCACAATGAACGATGGTCGTAAAGACGTTGCTGATAAAGAGAGCAGTGATGGAGGTGAGAGCAGTGAAATGGCCAATCAACTTAGTTCTGAAGCTAAAGTTTGTCAGTTAGTTGACGGTGTAGAAGTGACTGAGTTCAGTAACTCTGATGAATGCCCCAGTTCTACGAAGCCTGCCTCGTCTGCTTCTGAAAAGAGCCCAAATCCTGCTAAGGAACCCATGGATATTGATGTAATCACAGTGTCACCTAATCAAAGCCTGGCTGGAGTGACGTCTCCTCCGAAATGTACTCATCTTCTGACAGAGCAGCCCATGGATGTTGATGTCACTGCAGTGTCGAGTGATGTCTTGAATGCAGAATCTTGTTCCCAAACAGCAGTGTCAACAGAAAAGACAACTACGTCTGTTGCATCAACTAGCGTGCCAGTTCCATTATTAGAAGAAACAGAAACCAAGACAAGTAACGAGAACTTGCAAGACATTGCCATGTCCCAATCTTGTTTAGCACCAACGCTGTCTTCTGTTTCTACAGGCTCTGCAGGTGGAATGGCCACAACTAACACTGCAAACGTTCTTGTAACGAAAACTGCAATCTCAGTCAGCAGTACTTTGCCGTCTGCAACAACCGCTGCTTTGTCAACAGCATCTCCATCTCAATCAGCAACACAACCATCCGGTCTGGTGAAGAGTGCTGTGACAACAGTCAGCCAGTCTTCATCCTCGACCGCTTCTTCTGCGGCGGCCATAACTTTGCCAGCTACAGTTACTGTCAAAACAGCAGCCTTAATAGGTTCACAGCCCGTAGTGTCGGCTGTGCCATCTTCTGCAACTTTGGCAATCCCTCGAGTAGCTGTAGCAGGTTTGCGAGGGAGGGCAATAGGAGGATCTCCGGTGGCTCCTTTAGGGCATACGTTATTAGCCAAAGGTGGTGGATCACCTGCAGCATTGACTGCAGCTGCCACTAGAGGCATTGCTCCACAGAAAATAGGGCTCGCCACTCGACCTCAAGGCCAAACTACCCAGTATGTACCAATAGGCCCCAAGCCGATCTTTCCTTCTCCAAGGACACCCGCTCCAAGCACAGGTGTACAGGGATCGAATATAGTAAGAATCGGTACTCAGCCTGCAGCATCAGGCCAGTCCGGCGTAGCTCCAGTGAACAGTATAGCGGCTTTGGTTGCGAGCATTCCCACGTCTGGTACAACCATTGGACCATCACAGCTCATTCGTCTCGTCACCCCAGATGGTAGGACTTTAACACTGCAGGGTTCACAGCTGGCTGCTCTTGCCCAGCAGGCGGCATCCCCACTAGGTCTGAGTGCCCCTAAGACGATAACACTGCAGGTGTCAGCCACAGCCTCGCAGCAAAATCCGGGAACCTCTGTCCAGAAAACGGTCGGCATCAAAACACCAGGTGCTACCATTACTGTGCAGAGACCACCACAACAAGTTGCACAGGCCAAGCCTCAAGTTGTCATCAAACCCAAAGTGGAAACGAGACCACTTAAGGAAGAAAAGTTTCCATCTCTAGAACCAGTCATCAAAGATCCTCGTGCGCTGTTGAATCGAAGACTTGCTAAGTGGCCGTTGCGTCACTCCGTGAAAAGTGTGTTTGCGCTTCCAAAGCACGAACGTAGAAAACTGGGGAGGAAAGCTGGACTGAAGGAAGTCAGTGGATACACATATGCGTCTCGTGCGGTAGGTGTTAACTGGCCTGCAGGAATACCTCGTCCTTCGTTCAAAGTAGCCTGGCGTTTTCGCACTCAGAGCCTGAAGACGCTCGCCGGTGCAGGACTTCAACTGAGAATTCTTCAGTCTTGTTTAAAATGGGAGGAAATGAACGTGAGGCCACCGCGCGGAAACAGCAATACTGTGTACACGAGCTCAGGTGAGGTTTCATATATTTCTCTTGTTAATGGGAATGTTTGATTTGCAAAACTTACAGTTTGCCGTTTGGTGTTTGTAGTGCGAGCGATAACGAACCGACAGATTGTAACAGGGTTGCCAAAGGTCAGGAAATGGTCAGGGGAAAAATTCTTCAAGTTCAGGGAAAAGTCAAGGGATTTTATTTTGAGTCGGGGAAAATTGGCATTTCAAAGAAAAGTCAGGGAAAATTGAAATAATTTAATACGACTGTTTTAATACCATTGAAAGCTGGAAGAAACATTTAGGGTCTCTGATCTCAAATATTTTTACTTGATGAAGAAGGAAAATTTGTTAAAAACTTATCAGTCTCAATGAAAAAGTGGAAAGGACGGATGTAGAATGAGGCTAGAAGCCGCTATTGTATCTGACATTTTGTATTACTTGGTCAGGGAAATTTTGTTTTTATCAGGGAAAAGTCGGAATTTTGAAAAGTGATGTCTGTGGCAACCATGTTGCAACTCTGATGAAGGTGGACAGAGGCCACTGGAAATTCAGGGGGAAAAATAAGATCGTATTACAAAAACCTTAGAAAATATCTGTCTCCGATCGCAACACTGGAAGTAGTGTTTTCAGTCACAAAGAAACGCATGCAAGACGTATTCCTAAAGGTGAGGGTACTGTTTTTTTTAAAGTGAGTGATAAACGTAACTTCTTCTAGCACTAAGCAACCAATTGCAACAAGCGATGAACTGAAACAACGCTACTCATATTTAGGTTCTTTGCACCTAACACTTGCTGTAACTTTGACAGTGTTTCCTTTCCTTCAAGGCACAACAACAACAGAAATAACAGACAGGAAATTTGTTTCCCTGGATGGACTCCGATGTAAATACCTCGTACGTAAAATAATACGCACGCTTAGCAAACCTGTGGTAGAACCGCCTCGACCGACACCCACGAAGAGCAAGAGAGGTCGGACACTGAGACCTAAGATTGTTCTACAACCTGATGACGAGGACGAAACACAGGTGCCTTCTGGGCCACGTATTTTGGAAGCCTGGTACCCAGAGGTAAGTGACTGTGACGTGAAATAGTTGTACAACGCATGGATCCCAGTGTCATAGCAAGTGAAACTCCGCGCAGGAGGCAGCTTGGCCGAGTGGTTATGGCGCCGGACTTAGAATGTGGAGGTCACCGATTCAAGTCCTGCTCTAACCATTCAGCTGGAGTCATGCTTGTAAATAGCCAACTGGTTTGCCACCCGCCAGGTGGGATTTGTTTTTAGGCCTATTAGGTTTAATTGATATATTTGTTTCTTTTAGTTTAAGTGGCATGCCTGTGAACTAGCTAGGTGTAGCTAAGCGCATTGAACACTGTAAACAACAGTCATATTTTGTGGCCGCTGTTAAGTTGAGTACATAGAGAAAGCACCTGTGACGGAATCGCCGTAGAATGTCGAAGATTCAGCCTTCAAAATAGAAAAAGAATCCAAGTTATGTTTGGAATGTGAGAAGCCAAATACAGTATTTGATAACAATACAAAGGCAGTCAAAGTAAGGGGATGAGCCAAATTAAGACGAGTTGTAAAAAGTGCCTTTTGTGGAGCAAAACGTTCCCACGTTGCTACTTGTAGCTTTTATTTATCATTGTTATCATCGTCGGGCAGCATTCGTTTCTGTTTACCTCTGTCAACACTATTTGCTTATTATGTTACTCTTATAACCAGGCAAAGCTTGAGCTCTGGGAGATACGCCAGTATCACGAGCGAATTGAACGCGAGAGGGCCCTGGAACGAGAAAAGAAGGAACAAGCAGAAGCCATGCGCCGGGCAGCGGAACTACGCGCCGCCGCACTTCAGCGGAAACAGCAAGAACAGCAGGCGCGACAACAGCAGCAAAATCTTCTGAAGATGAACAAGAAAAAAGTTCAGAATGCTATTAAGACTCAGCAAAGGAAGGGAGTTGTTTTCAAAACCACTGTCAATACACCCGTTACTTACAAACCAACTGTCACTGCACCGGTGCCCCTAGGGGCCTTACGCCGGACGCTACCTGTCGTGCGTCCGGCAGTTCCTGCTAAGCCTCTAGGGATTCAACCCGTGGGGTCGACACCGCAGATGAGAACGCAGATTGTACCACGGACCACAGTGACTAGCGCATCCACCTCAACGCCGTATGTGCAGCGGTTACAGCCGAAACCACAGGTCACCCAACGTGCTTATACACCTTCAGTGCCAACTCAGATTTCACGTGCTAATACTTCTGCTGCTGTACCAGGCGCGTATACCGCTAACACAGGTAACTCACTTGGTTCTTGTAATCTAGTCTTTGCCTCTAATCTTTGTATAGTACCTTATGGTTTGGCTAAGTTATAGATATGCAAGTTTAGGTGTAAATTTATGTGAGCTTTGAGACGAAATGTCGCTTGTTCCTCGTCGACTGTTGCTAACGTTTTGATGGATTGTGGCCAAGGAGCAACAAACGTGCTGACACATTTCACAGGAAAATTATATTTTCGATTGTCCTGGAAATATCGCAGTGTCATATTGGGAAAGTATCTCAACTACGTTTGTCTCCGTTTCTCTGATTTGTATAAAATTCAAATACTTTCAGAAATGCTTTTGTTTTGTTAAATATGGCTATGTGTTGTACAGAAGCAGTCCAATTTGTATAGCCCATGAACAGCGTTACAAATCGTTGTTACATCAAACAGAGCCTGGGGTACTTACCATTTACATGGGAAAACCGGAAGCTCCAGTTGGAAAATCAAATGGTTCGCGCCATTCCGTTTGGGAAGCTTCTGAAAATATGGGCTGTGATTTGAGGTGATGCTATTTTTCTGCTCTTTTAAGTCTCTCTAGCTGATGTGGATACAGTTTATAGCGATTCCCTCTCCCGCAACGTTGCATTCAACTGTTTAATGTTTATGCCTGAAATTTCCAACCGGACGGTTTTTGTAAATGGTGAGCACCCCTGTTCTCTGGGTAGGTTCCTACGAAGTTTAACATTTTCCTCTGACTATCTAGAATTTTGTCATTGTGTTTGTTGCAGTCGCTCGCCTTGCCCCAGTGACAGCCACACCGAAAACAGTTCCAGTCCGAGCCAATCCCATGTCGACATCCCGGATGAAACACTCGTCTAAAGAACAAGTCAAACAGCAGGCAGTCAAGGCAAAATCTCGCAAGGGGGGTGGGAGCGTACCCGTGCTACATAACAAGAAGTACATGACCATAGAGTCAAGACAGGATTTGAACAGGCAAGTACAAAATTACGTTGTTGTGCCAGGTTTATAATTCCCTTTTGTGCTTATCTGTGCAGTAATGTGATTTTGGAATCGCGGGTTGTCACTCTTTTTTTTTCTGATTTACTTTTGATGGGCTTTACTGACTTAAAGGCAGCTCAAAACAACATCGAGTACTGTCCAAGACTTAGATTTTGATGGGTCATTATAACTGCTCTTTTTATCAGTTGATGATGGTATAAAAAGTGTAGTAATTGGTGAACACGTTGGTATCATTTTTGTGACACTATATGATACCATAGCAACAGTATGACCTGTTAAAAACGCCCTTAATTTTAGCTTTAAGTATTTATATTTCAAAAACGACATGGTGAAACCCTTTTTTATTATCGAATGTTGACGAGCAGGCTAAGATGCAACTTTTGGCTAAACGAAATTCGGCACATGGGGTTCAGACCCATCTTGAATTTTCAAAATGCGCTGAACCTCTCTCGGTAATCTCTAATGATGACCACGCATCCTCCGTGGTACGTGTTAAGACGTTGACCGTTTTTCTTTCATAGGCTTGCCATATGTAGGAAGGTCCTTGATGGTATTCTTGATAAAATTGACCGCAGTGAAGACACTGAACGCAAAAAGGAAGAGAAAAAACGTCTCAAGGAGGAAAACCTGGCTCTCCGACTAGAACGCCAGAAGGCCAACAAACTAAGCGCTTTATTACAAAAGCGAAAGGAGGCACTGAAAAGGGAACTGATGAAGAAAAGGGACCTTCTCGAGAGAGATCTTATATTGGAACTTCAGCAGAGCGGTAAGAACAAACGAAAGCACACGAGTTCAGAGAGAAGGCCCTCCCAGAGTACGCCAGAAGGGCCCAACGCCAAGAAGAAGAAAGTTGACGAAGAACGTTTGTTTTGTGTGTGCAAGAAGCCTTATGATCCAACTCAGTAAGACTTTGTTTGATTGCTTTGTTCCAATTTGTAGTCTATTACGGAAAACATCATTGAAGTTTCGCTTTTGCTACGTATGTACACTATTTGATAGACGATTAAACCCATTTCACTCCCAAGATCTGACAGTTAATTCTTCTTACTAGCACCATACATTTCTTTGTTGGCTGGTCCTGAGAATTTCATGTCACAACTAGACCTTACTCCGTAGTTGATAATTTCCCCCATTCTCTTTACCTGTCCACCTAACTGTGGTAAAAATGCTGGGAGTCAAAAGGTTAAGGTGGTTCAGGCATCACACTACATTGTAGGTAGGTCACGATGTTCAGGGCAATCTTTCAAAATTTTTGAAAGTTTTGCAAAGTGAACTTTGAATCTACCACAAATAGGCACAAACGCAACTGTTAACAGAATCATGGGACGTCATTTTCTTTGCCTTAGATTTTACATCGGCTGTGACATGTGCGCCAACTGGTTCCATGGAGCTTGTGTTCAGGTCTCTCAAGAAGACGCGCAAAGTATGGACGAGTGGACCTGTGCCGAGTGTACCCAGGCTCGCCGCGGAGTTGAAGAGGAGGAACTGTACTGTCTGTGTCGTCAGCCGTACGATGAGAGAAAGTAAGATATGTTTTGGTCTTTGAACACCGAGTTATTGTTTGGATGTAATGAATGTAAAGATTTGTTCAAGTGCCTATGAAGTAAAAAATAATTGCTGGCTATTTGAAAGGCTTTTCAAAGTAAAGGAGAATGGCGTTTTCCTTTTTTGGAATCTCTTTTTTCGTTTTAGAGATGTTCACGTTTTTGTACTATGCAAATGAGCAAAGTGATGATGTCATAGGTGGTTCCAGTAAAACAGCACAACACTCAATCGAGAATAACTTTAGAAATATTAAAGCAGTGTTCTTCAAACTTGGCACCAGCAATGTACATCACAAAAGAAACAGAATGACACCTACTATGTTGTTGCCAGAATGAAACCTACTATGTTGAAAATGCCTTTCTCCTTTACTTTGAAAAGCCTTTCAAATGAGCAGCAATTATTTTTTTACTTTATAGGCACTTTAACATTTCCGCTTCACATCCAGGCTTGCTAGGTGTGTGTTGCTGTGAGAGGTTTTGTGCGTAAGGTATTTAGCCCTAGCAGACCAACTGGGAACACTAAACAAGGATGAACCTTCATTACTAAACTGCTAAAGATGAATATCTACAATACTAAAATAATTAAACTTACAATACTTAATTTATTAGAATTATTTACAACATGAATTATTCAATGCGAAGCTTACAACAATTACTGGTAAGATAGTCTGATAAGTTAAGTTTTTTTCTTTCTTTTAGAAACAAAATTTTTGTCTCTAAAAGTGGTTAGAGTAGGGGCATCTCTTATATCTTTACGTAGTTTTGACCGTAACAAATGTCCTGTATATCTAATAGCATGTTTACCATAACGTATGGTATTGAAACGTGTTATTATATAAGTACTGTTCCCTAGTGAATGCTTAGAATTTTACAGACAAATAGGGTGAAGACGTTATCTGGTACAGGACCGTTCTTGACCTAAAACGTGCACACTGCGATATGTTGTAGACGTCTGTTATATAGAGTTGGCAGATTGGCGCACTCTGAAAGTTCTTCGTCAGTACTAGGCTTTCAGATAAGTTTTCAATGCAGGGTGTCAACAAGGCATTCCAATGGGTCAATTCCCACTGCGCCAACCAAATCATAAATTTTCGATTAATTTGTCGGGTCATGTGGCGGACCTGGCAGGGTTTTTGAGACCCTTACTTATCTGGAACACTGAAGAACCAGAATATGATCAGTAGATAGCTCTTAGTGCTACGTGAACGGAGTGTTCTTCCTCAAGACACCCACAGGATCTTGAGTCATTCTCTTTTTTATCATTGCTCACTGTTGCTGGTATTCGCTATCAACTATTGTTTGCATTGCTTGACTGATATGATTCTATACTTCCTAGCGAATTTTCATACCATTTATGTTTGTGTTTTCAGGTTCTACATCGGCTGTGACAAGTGTCAGGACTGGTTTCATGGCGCATGCGTTGGCATCACTGCCGCTGAGGCAGATAGTATAGACTTCTACACCTGCCCGCGATGCACACAGTCCCAGGCCCAAGTGAGCAAGCTGGCGCTGACCAGCAAGGACTGTGACTCACTTAAAAGACTGCTTCGCTCACTGCAGGTAAGATGTAAAACCAAGAGTGTGTTTGTTATTTTGTATGTAAAGGCGAATTCTAGGGAAATCTGTGAAGAAATATCCTTTCCTTCTTTTTTCAGAAAAATGCTGATGTCAGTATTTTTGTTAGGATTCAAGGCTAATTATCTTGAAAAAACGCGTGGCAACCCAATTTTTCTTTGTGGATTCCAATAGCCCTTGCAAAGATCTATTTTGTCCGCGTGGTCCTAACCTGGTGGTAAAACCTTTGTATTCAGTAGGCACCGTCCTGAAGCTGGAAGAACATGTTAGGCGAAACGTTTTCCTGTTTTTATGGTGATTGGTTGTGTATTGCGTGCGAAAAAAATGATCGAAGAAAATTCAATCAGCGGTTTTCATTGCGGTAGCATACATGTATGCTTCGTTTACGATGTGTGTATTTGTCTCTGGCAGAGCCACAAGATGGCATGGCCGTTTCTTGAGCCCGTGAATGCAGATGAAGTACCTGAGTATTATGACGTCATCACTGACCCTATCGGTGAGTCGCCTAAGCAATGCTGAAAATGAAATAGGCCATTTCCGAGCTACCTTGTGCCTCAGTCTCAAAACGACTCCTCATGCAAAACCTTTCATTTAAAAATGATTTTGATTTACATGAAAATGAATCATTATGTGGAACACATTTTCATATGAATGGTTTCGCTCGAAGACTCGTTTTGGCAAAAGTAAACTCAAAATTGACATATTGGAGCAAAATTCGTGTTAAGTTTGCGTGTGCGAATTGTGATTTCACACCAAACAAGGTAGTAGTCACTGAAATTTGAAATGGCTTGACTACTTACTAGCCTTGTTTGGCGAGAATAAACCTGTACTCATGATTGGGCCGGGTTGTTCAAAGCCCGATTAAGCTAATCCAGGATAATCGAGAATTTTGATATGAGTTTTGTAACTTTGCGGTGAGGTTTTTCGTTTATAATGTATGGCCTTCTGTTTTGAGTTTGAATAATCTCAAACTTCACAAAACATAAGCAGTAAAAACATTTTATGCAAGAAAAGTTAATACTTCCGTTAACTTTTAATCCTGGGTTAGCGTTGACCGGCTTTCGAACAACCCGGCCCCAGAAGAACATTTATCTGAAGTTTCGTTGTATGCGTATAATTTGTTGTTTAGTGTTTTTTCTTTTTGTTCTCACCAGACCTTTCCACAATAGAGGAGCGTTTGAATTCCAAGTCTTACTCGTCACTGGAGTCCTTTGTCAGCGACATTACAAAGGTTTTCGACAACTGCCGCTTCTTCAACCAGCGCGACTCGCCCTATTACCGCTGTGCTGAGGTGTTGGAAAGCTTTTTTGTGCAAAAACTACGTGCTTGGAAAAGCAGAAAATAAATGAACTACACTCGTCTTTTGTAATATCCGAACAAAGCCAGTGAAGACCATTTTGAGAACGCTTTTTAGCCACTACGTTATGTAAATCTTGAGACACGAGGCTTGTCACGTCACTTTTGATTGGTTGTAGTGAAAACTTATCCCGTGATTCCAAACGTCCAGTCGTTACATCGAGTTTGAAACATTACAGTGATAAAACTGCTGTCAACCTTAAGGCTCATGCGTAAGCTACAATGTTAATCATTCAATTTCATTGTTTATAAATAATCGGAAGTGTGCAAAATGACCCTTGCGGGAAATTTGCCTTTGAAAATTTCACGGTCAGTCGCGAAAACCTGACGATATAGGTGAGATTCATTAGAATTCCTTTCGTATGTTCCGACTCCATGCAAACAGTACATTTTCACTTTCCAATCAACAAATGTATTTCAGAAATCACAGACTATAATTTGGTGAAAGCGTAGTTATAGCCTTTGAGAAGCTACACGGCTGCACGATGGCTAGTAGAATGACTGGTGTCGAAATTATACGGAAGATGTAAACGGATTTAGACAGAAAATGGCGAATTGAAAAGTAAACATCGAATTTGTTATTCAAGCTGAACTGTTTATTCTGGACCAGACGAACGAGTTATGTACTCGCATCTGATTGGTTTATAAACAATGGAATTGGGTGGGGCAATGTAACAGCTTGCGCATGCGCCGAACCGCGAAACTATCCCTTTAAGACATTTGTCTAGCGTGACAGATTCCGACTAGTGCAAAACTAGTTCGTGAGTATGGACAGAAAGAGTGGCAATAAAGCATCACTGATATGCGTCTTGATAATCCATCAAATATTTTCGTTTGCGCGCGATTCGTTTAAACGCGCAAGGTGATATTTCCCACCTAAAACCGGGGAATATCAAAGGAGATTCCTAATTTTGAAAACTGCGCGCGTTGTGAAAAACATTTGAAGGATAACAAACACATTTTGCGCAAAAATATGTTCGAATATTCGTCCTTGGACATTATCTGTTCCTCAAAGCTCACAGTTTTACGCTCTCGGAAAACAGTTCGCTTCTCGGAACAGATAATGTCCGCTGACAAATATACGAGCATATTTTCGCGCCAAATGGAGGCTATTGCTTATTATTTATAGAAAAAAAAAAGATGTAAAGAATTAAACATTGTGTACCGTTGATAGCGTCCTTTTGATTGAAGCCCTAGTATGAAGACTTGGTGTTTATGCTTTCAATTATCACATTTCACACCAATCTCGTACTGATAGTGTCCTATTCAACTGGTCAACTGCGATACAGCTGCCCTTTGGACTCGTCATGCAATCTTCTCCCCCAATGAGAAGTTTGTGTGACGAGCACAAAGACCGTCTGCATAGGAGGCTAACCGTGATAGGGTTGAGTAAGGATTCTGGGAAGGTCGCTGGATTTAAATACAACTGTGGTAGTTGGATTCAATCTCGTACCGTGATCTTAAGGTCCCTGATTTAATTTCATGGTGGTAAACGAATATACATTAAACAGATGTTTCTGTACAAGGTTTTTGGAAGTTGCTTGTTTAGAACTTGATTAAAAGTCGAATACCAACCATTATCACCACCACCACCTCAACCACCTCCGCAGCCAGGCACTGCAGTCGGCCGCCATGCAGTAAATGTCACATACGAACCTCGTGTTAAAAAGGCGGGTGGTTTGAAGCCAAACAGCTGAAACAACAAGTTCGTTCTCTAGAACCGATACCACGTGGAAACTTATCTTAATTACTAATATTTAAAATCTGGATATAAGACGAAATATAAATCGCTTGAGTTCTAAAAGGGAACCGAGGAAAATTAATTATTAAGTGCATCTTTTAGGTAGAAGGTAGAATTAGATTGCTCATTTTGTGCTCATCTTAATTGGTACGGAATCTCTGCGAGTTGAAATTTTACGTCTAGGTGTCGAGGAGGTCTCCATAAATCTTTGGGTAGGCACTAGCTGTTGTCCAAGGAGAAATGTTATCACTATCGTAGTCTAAGATACGCTAACTAAACCAATATCTTACAACCACTTCCGAGTTTCAATTTTCATTACAGAACCCCGGGTTAAAAAAACGATTCTAGACTAAATATTGGCCACTTTTCCGAAAATTATACCCTTTTCTTGACCAAAGCTGTCTGATTTCTATACCCTATCCCAGAAAACCACACCCTTGACAGCGGCACATATGCGCATAGTTTAAATAAGGGACTTCCCCCGCCCACCCACCCCCCACCCCC